CTCCGACCCACCGGCTTTTTGGAGGGGCTTTGACTGGTTTCTGGGGGGACTTCGACCGGTTTCTGGGAGAATGTCACCGATTTCTGGGGCTATGACTGCGCTGGGGGTTTTGGTTTCGTCTCGGAGAAAAAAGCGGCCGCTCTAACCCGCGGCCTTCTGCAGGGCCGTGAGGCTCTTCTGCAGCACCTTCTCCTTCTTCAGCGACGCCAGGCAGGCCTGGCCAAACATCCGGCACCACGTCTCACTGGCACTGGCCCTGAGGATCAGGATAAAAATTCCCGCCTTCGCCTTCGCACTCTGAAACAGGCAGCTGGAATGCTGACTTCTGTCGCTGTTGTTATGTTTCTCCTTTTTTTTCTGGTTCTTTTCCGGAAAGCTCAATCTGACTTGGAAGAGAATGATCCGAGTTGCTGAGCTAAGCATTCACAACATGGGATCCCCTCTGTGACTCACAAATCATTGCCTGCCAGAATGTTGCAGGTGGAAGGCCATTCTCTCCTTGGTATCCAATGAGGTCTGGCTAGTTGACTGGCTTGTCGTCCAGTTCGGGAGCATGCAGTACAACAAACGAAGTTTTGGTTTTACCAACATGGTTGCAAAGATTCACATATGGATCACTAACAAAGCCTAGGCTGCGTCCAGCCCTTTTTCAGCCCAAGGGTAGAACGACCTAAAGTGGGCAATAGGGTTTGGCCAGCCGAGTGGCCGAAAAGGTTGTTAAGAGAGGAGGGGCAAAGAGAGCAAGGCGTGCTGGCACGCCTCGAGGCCGCCGTTCACAAAAGGCTCCAGCACGTCTGACCACACCTCCTCCTCGCCAACGCCCGCCGGAAGGCTCCCAAAGGATGGCTCGTGCTTCGTTCAGGAAAAAACACTCATCGAACTTGGCCCACTTGACAGGGGCTGAAACAAGAGGTAGCGACAACATGATGGTCTGAGTCTAGGTGAGGTTTGCTAGCTGCTCAACCGGATAGCCCAAAACTTGTTTTTTTAATCAGCCTGCCATGAGCATCAGGGAAGCATCTGCCAAAACAACTTGCCATACACGTTGAATCATCTATCAAATGCCAAGTGTCTATCCCTTTCTTCCCAGCTTTGTCTGACACACCACCGGTGGTTCGGGACTCCCAAGAAAGGCGCTAGGCGCTAGCCTGGGGTCTCTCGAAGGTTGACCCCGGAGTGGTGGCGGGGGTGTTCTCCCCTCCAAAAGTGAGAAACCCACACTAAATACCAGGGACACCCCCATATTAATAAGCAAGCCTTGTTTAAACAAATCTGGCTTCAACATTAACAATTTCGGCTTCATAAACCTCTGCAAGCCTTTGAGGAATAATAACAACATTGGACGAATCCGCGACAGAGTTGCCTCTGGAACTTGGCTGATGTCATTGATGCCCGGCGCATGTTTCACAGGTTCAAACGAAAGACTTTTCCGAGAAGACATTACCAAACGCAATCTGCCCCACTGCGACAAAAACCTGCCCTGGCTAGCATGGGTATGTATGCATGACCTCTAGCAAATCTGAACATCAAGCGCTACTCGAAAGCAAGCATGTCCTGAAAGCCGACATGTCCAGCAAACCCTCCAGCCTCAGCATTGCTCAAGGCCTCCACCAAAAAGAGCCTCCGCGCAGAGTGAACCAAGCTGGGTATTGAACGGCAATGCATATCTGCCCTTCGGTCAGCTTGAGACAGGAATCGTCCCAGGGTTGTGGGGTGGTGTCATTGCAAGTTCTTAGGTTCGCAACTCCGTCTCCCCTGCCACATCCATCCTGACACAGGTCTGGAGTACTCCAACCCGAGCTCGCTTATCTTGTTGACAGCTGGGTGGTGGACGAATTCAGAGAGTGCCATCGCGTCACCATTCGGCTTCCCTGTGCCTGGTCTCCCGATCCTCCACGCCGGCATCGTCCAAGGCATCCAAGAACTCCGACATGGCGCGATGGGAACTCGCAGGCGGGCAAGTTGCTAGCTCCGGTTTTGCGGAAGACCGTCAACAGAACCTCTAGCTTGCTTGGCAACAGCAATCGCCCGCCAGCCCTTGGATTTGGTGGGCAAACGACAGGAATCTGAGATTTGGTTTTGACGTGCACCGGCAATCGCGAAAAACCACGCATCTTGCATGGGGCAGCCTCGTGCTGGTCAGGAAGTCAGTTGTGTGTAGGTTTTTGTTTGCCGTGTTTGTGCTATTCCACGTTTTGAGGTAGAGATGCTGCACTGCATCCTATGCTAGGTTGAAGAGCGCTCCTCGCATCCAACTCCATATGTTTGCCTGAGCTACTTCAGCCAAAGACGGCTTTGGACAATATTTCAAGCCGGCTTGAGCTGACTGACACGTGGACATGGAAAGGAGTGAGCGGGACTTGAAGTGTTCCGCCGCGGTTTAGCAATGAGCGAACCAAGGCCCTGGTTGGGAAAGCAACCTCTTGACACAAACTCCACGGTGGCTCAGTCAGCATGTGGTTTCAGCGAAGGAAGCCATTGCAAAGATTTGGCCAGGCCCGACAAGGAGCAACCAAGGAAGTGTGGAAACCCCAGCCCCCATTAAAAGAATGGCAAGGTCTCGATTTGGATGACAATCCTTAGCTAAACAATGCTGGTTATATGAACCCCCATTGTTCTCATGGTGGTTTGAACCCCAGGGGAAAGATCAGAAGGACCCCCCATCCTTTATGCATCGCTTCGGCCAGAAGTGGGCCAAACCCGTTGCGCCACGTTGCGTGATGCGCCACTCCTTCAGTGCTTTCTCGTCTGTGGAGGCGAGCACTGAGCCCACGAAGATGCCTGGGGCTTGGACGGGATCATCAGCTGCAAGCTTCACAAAGAATAGTTCGTGGGGGATACCCTCCCTTCCACTAACATGGCTTCTGACAGAGGGCCCCTTGGAGAGTAGATTGATCTTTCAGGTACCCTCCCACAGGTGCCACGTTAGTTTGAGGAAGGGTAACTGCCGAGTTTGTTGCACGGGTGCAAACCAACACTTTTCTGAGCAACAGCAACACGGCAACATCAGGAAAATGGTGTCCTGATTGGGGAACTGACGTCCAACATGTCTGTCATATTGCCCAGCCCTCCCTTTCTCGGGTAAAATAACCCCGCAAAGATGCTAAATGGAAGGACGTACACTCAACAAATACTGGGGTGGTGCTGCATCATCTGCATCCTTCAACATTCAATCTGTTCGACATGTCTTTGCGGATTCATGCTTGCTCAATCAAGACTGCACCACCCGTGCACCCTCCAAGCAATGAAATCAGATTTGAGTACCAAAGCCAACCAGAGCCACCAAGCAAATCAGTATGCTCACGGCCAGCAACAAAAGCTTACACGCTACACCTTCCATTTGCTTAAGACCCCTGAAAAAATAAATCATAATCCAGTAGTGATAGATTCCCTTGAAAACCAACAGGGGAAAATAACAAATATTCTTAAGCAAATGGAAGTTCTTCAGATCCCGTCACTTTACTCAACCCATTCCGTCTCATTGAACAAATGTCGCTTGGCCAAACCCCAATCCTCACATTCTGGAAGGTCCCTGCGAATCTGGACAAACTAAGTCGGATGCTTCCAAACAGGCATGGAAACAGGAATGGGGTCTGCTGAAACTCCCATGGCATCTCAAATACGTTGCATCTATGTAAGGTGGACCCTGGGTCAACGGCACATGTCTATCTACACGGCTAGAACTTGGAGTTTCTGCATTGACTGCACGCTTTGCGGAAAACGATTCGCCGCCTTCCTTGCCAGAAACACATGACCGTCCTTAGCGATCAGAACCCATTTGTTAGATCCTGTTCAATGGGTGCCCTGGATTTGGGGTGACTGTATTGTGCAATCCCCGTCTGCCAAAGCCACTCAGCTTTGCTAGCCAAGTCGCCAGGGTCGACCTCGCAAGCCTCTTCCTGTCTTGCCGCCCAGATCTCATCGTAGAAGGATTCGCCATTTGAGACCATTGGACTCGCACGGCTCACAAGACTGTAGCTCGCTGTCTCTTTTTAGCTGACGCTGTGGTCGCTCGTAATTTGTTGGAAGGCGTGGACACTGGGAGCTCGAGTCTAAAGCTCCATTCAGCGGCCAAGCCTGTCGATGTCTAACAAATGTGACGCAGCTCCCCTCTGCCTACTGCACTGGGTATCAGCTGTTTGGCGACGCTGGCTGTGCCTGTTGCATGTGGCTGTGGGTCAAACATATGTACCCAAAATGGAACCCCGGAAAGTGGAAACACGGACCATAACCTGCGGTCCAATTCCTGATGCTTTAATTTTGACTCATACCCATGTGTGTTTCCACATCTGGCTCGACTCTTTTGATACAGCCTACGCAACGCAAGCAGAATCTCCCATTGTGCTTTATCCCCTTGGAAACCGCTGCGCTAGGCTGAGTGCCTACGCTTGGCCCATTTTCTGCAGTCTAGTTGTCTAGCTTCTGCCAGTTTTTTTGTTTTTTTCAAAAACAAACACGTGCTTTTCTGACTCCTGCTTCCAATACTGTTCATTGGACTTTCCCCTGGAAGGCTCAATTTGGCTGCACTTTGAATTGTTTCAGGGGCATTATTCTTGCAACTCAAGTCTTGAAGCAAATCACTCTTTTGGCCTTGACGGCAGGACGGCGACCTGCGAAACGAAGAGCTTGCAGGACTTCAACGCAATCCCAAGAGCTTGCTGCCAGAATGTGGGAAAAGGAATGTTGAAATGCCCTGTCAGATTGGCTTATCAAAAGTTTCAGTTTAATAATAAAAGCGGCAAATACTAACTGACATGTTCTCTTTCTGAGAAGGAAAGCTCTCTCCAAAATCAAGTCGGGCGGTTGCATGCAGCCAGCTGCACTACCAAAATAGTCCAGGCCGGACCATGTTAAATCTTAAAGAGCGCTGACTGCCTGCTCCAGAACAGGCATCACAGCTTTCACTTCCTGGCACTAATCTTTCACCCAAAGATTGCCACGCATGGGGACACATCAGTGTGACTTCTGCATTTCTTTCGGAGCTTCGTGCTGCAACTGGCCTCGCGTGCGGCAAAAATCATGCAAACCCTCGCTGCGGTGAGTCTCTTTTTGGCCGCTGCAAATGCAAATCACTGCAACCTTCGCGGACGAGAATGCTGCCTGGGCCGGATGCAAGGCACCCGTGGGGATGGTTCAAGCGAACATTGTTCAAACTGGAGCATACGGGGTCGTTCGATGTGGCCACGGAAAGGGTAATGCAAGGGAAGGAAGTTGGGAAGATGTGGGCTGCAGTTGCGACAGTGTATGGGCAGGCATGATTGGGTACAGAAACATACTGTAGATGTCCTTGCTGCTGCGTTGCTGTTGGCTCACAACGGGAGCTGCTTACTGGAGCAACTGATTTCCATATGCATATATACCTACATGTAAAGGGGAAGATTCCGTTATATCACAAAGGTGGGAATAAACCCCTTGATCCCACAACGCCTTGCAGTCCTATTGGCCAAACAGGGGTCACAGGGAGGAGCTAGAGGGGACTGGCCAAGTGTGGTGCGTGCGTGCGTGCGTGCGTGCGTGCGTGCGTGCGTGCGTGCGTGCGTGCGTGCGTGCGTGCGTGCGTGCGTGCGTGCGTGCGTGCGTGCGTGCGTGCGTGCGTGCGTGCGTGCGTGCGTGCGTGCGAGCGTGCGTGCGTGCGTGCGTGCGTGCGTGCGTGCGTGCGTGCGTCGTGCGTGCGTGCGTGCGTGCGTGCGTGCGTGCGTGCGTGCGTGCGTGCGTGCGTGCGTGCGTGCGTGCGTGCGTGCGTGCGTGCGTGCGTGCGTGCGTGCGTGCGTATGCGTGCGTGCGTTTGCGTGCGTGCGTAAGCGTGCGTGCGT